TTGTACACAAAATATTTTTTACTTAAAAAACTGGTAAATTTTCTTAGGTAAGATATTTTAATATTCTCAAAGAAAGCTCGTTGTATTTACTCCTAATTCTCGAAAAATTCGCTTATTTATTATTCGGTTCTGTGTTCAATAAACAAGCATGTATCGTTATAAAAGTGGAAAACATCAGTTTCGTTTCAACATTTGTTCATGATAGTCAGGTATTTACACATAAGAATGTAAACACATTAAAGAAACGTATTTCACGCTCGTCGCTTCGCTATCGATTTGTTTTTTTCCAGGAAAACGATTATTCGACTTATAACTTCGAGTATGACCCTGTCTTTTTCGTGTCTGTCACAACTGCATTCTCCTTGCACCTTAATGATGGAACTATCTGTACGTTGATTAGCTTAACGGCGTTGCGACACAACCACTTTTCGGTTTGTTATTCGCATTTGCCGCGTTCGGATAATTTCACTAATTCCAAGATGGCGGACCCAAAATGGTTGTATACAATTCCTTATGGTTTTACAAAAATTGTTTTATTATATATATTATATTTATTATATTTATTATACATATTTTATTATATATAACAATACGTTTTATTGATCATATATCATACAGAAATGACCCATAGGAAGAATACAGGTTGTATCGATTAGATTTCTATGCCTACCTTCGTCAATGCAATGGAAAATAAAAATTGTAGCAGACGTACTTTTTTATCGATTCGAAATGTTACCATGTGTCAAGGTCACCGTGTCGGTGAAGGTATCGAGGCAAATTAGTGCGAGTGAACTACTTCTGTTGCCTCTGTGTCATTTCAAACTGCGATTTAATGTTTAGATACTCCGAAGAACTGGCGATGATCGACGATAATTGGTATAACTATGTTTCGAAGTATGTCATGGTTGCACGCGATGAAAAATCGCTCATTATTACGTAATATTGAAAAATGTGAAGTACATCGTTCCTTTGTTGCAGACTGATCCGACGACAATTTAGAGTTTAAAGTTCCCCGTGTATACGAATATTATATAATATTCGATTTTGGAGTTCGATTTATATATAGATACGTAGCGTCCAGTGAAAAATACAGTGTTGAATACCAGTTCTGTGAAATTACTTGTTCCTTGCAATTCATAAATCTTCTCGGTTTATACTCACAGTCGATAGAATTATTATTACTTAATTTCAATTTTTTATTTTAAATAACTTTTTGGGGATATTATATGCAGTATAATGTATTAGGTATATTATATGTATTATATAGATGTATTTTACAGTAGAGTCAGTATAGTGCGTGCTCGGTATAGATAAATACCTAATAATAAATGAGTCATATGGAAGACAAAGTGAGTAATTCTTGAATTTTTTATGATCTTGCTGTCAAAGCTCTTGATTAATGTTTAACTTTTATTTTTTGAACTACATATCTACTTTCTTGTTTTCTAGAGCTAACCAATTTGGTATAGGAGCAACTTGAATATAGTATACTGTATAAGCATACTATAATAAATAGGGTGTCCACAAATTCACGCAAGATTTGAAATTTTTAGCATTTGTTCGGTAAAGTGTTTTGTTTTGAGACACCCAATATATATTTACTATACTGTAATCTATCTAATATCTATCGCACAGAAATTATTTTCTTATGCTTTAAACAAAAATTCGTCGAATATTACAGAATGTACATACTCATTTACGAATTCCAATATTGCCAATTTTTGTGTTAATGAAAATAATTTTTCCGGGTAATAACGCGTTCATAAATTTAAATAAAGGTAATACGCTTTTAATCTCATATTGTCAAGAAAAACAAGCTGAAAATTTATTTCGATTGGCAAGGTATCGTGGATTTTTATATCGCATGTTTGTTAATGGGCTTAATCTGTGACCTGATCGTATCAAAGTCCTTTTTAATCCAGTTATAAATTAGATTGCTTAATGAAATGATGAAGGACTGGCTGGTAATTTATTTTCCGCCTTCTTGAAGCTCTCAGAGCGTTAGGATCGAGCTGGTATCCGTTAAGGGAATTGTATAAGTTAATTGTAATTTGATTGTCGACTCGTAATGGTCTATAAATGCTGGGAACATCGCATGGATTAACGATGATCTAAGATTATTCAGAGATGAAATTTCCACTGAATAGGAGAATGTATTTCTTGGTTCTATGTCGTAGCTAAACCGAGAATAGAGAAGATGATGTTATGCAAATTAGGGTAGAGTTTTCATGTTTCTATAGTTAAACCATGCAGTAACGAAGCCTATTTTTTCCTGATGAAATTTTACAACAGGACTTAACGCTAAACCATGGTTTAAATCACCGTTTCCTAAACTTTCATTAAAAGTTCCACGTTTCTACCTGAATCACTCCTCTTCGAGATTTTTCTACCAATATTCGTATAATCATTTTCTCAATGTCTTCCGTTATTCTATTTTTTAAAGCTTCTGCTTCTTTACCATTTACCGGTTATTTGACCATGGTAGATTTAGTGTTAAACATCCTTCATCCATTGGAAACTGGAAAACCATTATTTTTTAAATATTCTTCGTCCATCATGGTCTTTCAGGGTATTAAATTGCTTAAGCACTCACCTAACATCCAGTTCGGTTAGGATGAATAATATATCCCGTGTATGTCATCCACCGCGATTAGTCGATTTTCGGTGATCAATTAAGTAAATTCAGATGTAACGATACGAATTATCGCAATGCGATTGCAGTGTTGTGCGATAGATCATTTTGTGCAACGTTCAGCACTATTCCATAATCAAAGTCAACATTGACTAATCCGTCGTTACGGAATTAAGTGGAATCGTTACATGCATACGCGGCTTGTGAAATTCATCGTGCGCCGAGAATAATTTCGTTTTGTATGTATTCCCACGTGTTAACGTTTCAAGGTAAATGAGATAATTTCCTCCTCTGATACATCTTCGCTGGATCTTCTTTATTGTGCGTAGCTTTTCGTCCAGGGATCGTGTTTAAGTCTTTAGAGGAACCATTGCTCGTTGAGATATGCGGTTAACTTATGTTAGAGATCAAAGCTTGATCCAATGTACTTTCTCCATTTTGTAATCAAGATTATTCTTTGATATGCTGTTCAAGCAAACGTGGAAAGTAGGAAGCTGAAATGTGAATAATATAGTTACTTGTACATATATGCATTCTGATGTAATTTTCTTTTGAGTTTCTTAAGTCGATAGAAGGCTTTGAAGTTAAAGTGAAAATAAATAATAGCCACTGATTTTTGAAATTAAATGTTTTGCTTGTAATTTTATTAGGTATTTGTTTGCTAATAAAAATGTCGGTTTTGGTTATTTTTGCATTGGAAATTAAATATTTTTATTGGTAAATTTGTTAAGTTAGTAGTTATTATTGTACATAAATATATTGATCTTAATTGTATTTTTGAAGTGGGAAATTTTAATTACATTTTTGAAGCAAGAGTTAGATACTTTTGTTAGTGATTTTTATAGTAATGAGAATTTTAAAGTTTCACGTAACAATTGCGCAATTTAGTACATGGTTGTCTACCTAATTTCTATTAATTAATTTCTATTTTGTTGCGAGTATGTTTGTTTTATGATCTAATATAGTTAATATAGCTGTTCCGCGTGTTAGCAATTTGATATGAATTGTAAACATGGTCATTTTTTTATTGGAATTCTATTATCTGATAGAACTACATATACGCCAGTTATGAAATATTACGATAATAGATAGATTAGTATTTTTAGATAATAGTATTTTTCTATGAATCCTAACGGTTTCTCCGCATAGTCCACGCTTTTTAATTCCAACAATGAGGTCTTACAATTCAGTATTACGTACCGATGTTAAGTACATATGTGCAACATATAATTGGTAGAATAGAAAATTCCTTGTATCACAATTTATTCAATGATAATCTTCGTTGAGACTGTTCGTCTATCATATTTTGGAAATCAGTGTTTACATTTCGAAATTCCAAAGTAATTATCATGTGACTGGTTGCTAATAATGATATTATCTTTTTTACGTGTGATACGTATCATGGTTTTGATGCGGGGAAAAAAAGGAAATAAATGATTTCAACCACCTTACCGTAGTGCTTATCAAGCCATCATGTACCATGTAATGTTGAATATTCATGTTGTCGGCCGTTTTATTCATTCTCTTCCTGCAAGTTGGAAATGTAAATTAGATTATAAACGATACGATATTTTAAAAATTAAATGGTAGGAGCTATAAATAATCCAAACTTTACCGAGATATCTCAGTTTGAACTACTATTGTAGACTGCAATATTAGAAATATAGGATTCTTTTCTTACGCTTATCTCTATTACTTAATATTAGAACTACTGATTTGTAATGTGCAATTGTGTAAACTACATACAGCTATGACTAAGCAAAAAATATGATGAAAGTAAGTAGATATACCTGTAATAGTATACACACGTTTGTATATATTTATTTTACTAAAAAATTGTATGTTTTCAGTAAATGCGAAAATAAAATATATGAATAAAACAAATATATTTTAATTGGCTTAGTAGTTCTACTATTAAATGTACATTTTTCTTTTTCTTATTTCCAAGAAACAGTTTGTGTAAAGTCGTTTAGTACATTATGAAAACATGATTACCACGTAGATTCTCAGTAAAAATCCACTTACAAAATATATTTATACATAGATATTATTCCTGTTAATAATTGTTAATTTTATTTCTGATTAAGTAAATACTTTGCCTAATACCTTTAGATATTTAATAACATAAGTGCAATAAAGTCACATAAATTTTTCCAACCAAGATCAAGTAGTACCCTTTTTTTATCTCTCCATACCAGCCAAAATCAAGTAATTTCCAGTATACGGATAGGAAATACATGCGAAAATGAAAAAGAAATTCTCAGCTGATTGTATTCTAGAAAATTCGATTTTAGTTTCAAACAAAAATATGACGAATTTTTAAAAATTGTGTAATTCATTATTTTCATTAATACTTTGTTATGTTCAGATTGGCGACTGCCCTGTATTGCTAACCGGAAATGGAGTGCCTATTGCCGACAAAAAAGCCAGCTTGACGGTCGGTCCGCGAGGGCCCATATTGCTTCAAGATTATGTCTATTTAGATGAAATAACACATTTCTCCAGAGAAAGAATTCCCGAGCGTGTAGTACACGCAAAAGGAGCAGGTACGTTGACTCAATATATTTTGAAATATATTTTGTTACCTCTGTGCTGTAAAATGTAATGGATAGCGGTGAGATTTATTGTAAATTTTTATATATGTATTGGAAGAATCCTTTATATTATATGTAGCGATAATCTAACCATAATTGAATAAACATACTTTCTGTCTTCTGTTGTATTAAAGCATGCATTCTACTAAGAAATGTAAATTTGATTTGTTTCAACTACTTAATTATGCAATAAATGTAATAGCATGTTGCAAGAAGTGCATGGTAAGTGTGAAGCACAAAAGTAGATATTGAGATTGTTTCTGGAGATCTCCAATGATAAATTGCAGAAGTTATTTTCTTTTATTGATTTCTCATTATAGATTTACTGTCTGAAACGTTAACGTTATTAAGATTAATAATTGTATTGTGTACGAGGCTTAAAAATCTTACATTGAGTATATGAGTTAGATGTCAGTTATCTAACTTAATTAGGTATTAATTAAGTGAAAAATGTGGTAACATCTAAATCAAATATAACAATGTTAAGTAACATAAACGATTCTTACGTCATATTATCTCAATTGACAGCAAACTGTTTAACCAATTTAATAATCATCAGCCTCTATTTCAAAATGCCCCATTTTCGACGCTATGTTCTCCATCCTTTGTTTCCTCGCTTGGGACAAAGCAATCTATGGAAGTTTCCCAGATAGCACGGCTATATCATAAAAAACAAGAAACAAGGACAATAAAAAAAAAGGAAGAGAGAAAAACACGAGGAAAGTAAGAAGCTGTGGTAGAAGTTACATATGCGCCGAGAAAATATCCATAAAACGTTCCGAATGTTGGAAGCAACTCGGATAAGCCATAACCGACCGCTCTACAGAAGTGTTATCCTTTTTTCTTTTCACTTGACCGCAGGTGCGTTCGGTTATTTGGAAATTACCCACGACATCACGAGATACAGTAAAGCAAAGGTTTTCTCCTGCATCGGCAAACGAACACCCGTCGCCGTAAGATTTTCCTCCGTGGGTGGCGAATCTGGCTCAGCGGATACTGTCAGGTAATTGTAAATTTATACATAACTGGTTAAACGTGTTTATGCATGGTATTAACGATGTATAGTTTTCTTATTACATTCCCAAAATTCACTCATTTTTTCCTTAGTATTACGTGTTCGTGAATAATTGCATGAAATATCGTATTAACCGATAGTTACATTAAATGTTTGAAGTGTCACGTAGTGCGGTCACGTAATTTAGGCGTTGTGCCGATAGGTGTCACTACATCCATATGCATGCGTGGGAATCCTATGGCAGCGCCTCTTCAGTCTTTTGTTAGTAATGACACTTACGATGAATATAACGCGATCGTGTTGCTTAGCATTTCTCAGCGTTAATCAAAGTAAACAGCACTTCTTTATCGGATTTTTGTGATAATTCCTGGTATTCAAACGGTTAAAGTAGGTGTATCTGTGGGTAATTGTGTCGATATGTTTTGGGAAATTTCGTTTTGGGTTAAGGCATAAAGTTAATTTAATATTATATACTATTGTATTATATTTTATATTAATTATCGTAAAGATACCAAAACACGTAAAATAGTGGATAATGAATAATATAACTTGAAAGGTTTAGTTTTTATGACACTCTAGAGTTAGCTGTATTAATTATATTATTAAACACTCGGTGTTTTATTTGTTCTGGTATTTAACCTTTACAATAATTAAGAATGAGTAATACTAAAGAGTATTACTAAAATCGTTGCTATTCATGTATTATTCACGGTAATTACTTCCGAGTCTGAAAAATTAGCAAAAGTTATACAAGCGTAAATTATTCGAAAACAATAGCACAATATAATTAAAGGGAAAACTGAATTTGCATGATTCATGGCAATTACGGATTACGAGATCGACGGAAATAAGGTTTGTAGATCGCTGTTTCTTGCATTCGGATCAGCGGACTTAGTCACGTGAAAATACGCGAAAAAACGAGTGGAAGACCGAATGCGCCTGCGCGCGCATCGTCCTTGCAATTAATTGACCAACTAACGGCTGGCTGTGAAAGAGTTTTCTTTTTTTGGAAGTATTGCTACAGCAGCGATTTTTAGTGAGTCACGAGCGATTTCGCACCATTTGTTATTCTACGGGTTTGCGTTTCAACAGATGACTGATCTCGTTGTTTCACGTTCAATTGAAACACTAGAACATACTTTTTTCTCTCAGTGATACACGTTTCCCGTCATTGGCGGGAGTTCCATAGATTCGTTTATTTTACGATAATTCTTTGTTTTATATTTTTAGGGATCCCCGTGGTTTTGCGGTTAAATTCTACACCGAAGATGGTATCTGGGACTTAGTGGGCAACAACACCCCGATCTTCTTCATCAAGGACCCTCTATTTTTCCCCAGTTTCATTCACACGCAGAAAAGAAATCCTGTTACTCACCTGAAGGTGTGTCATCGATTGCATTGCACTTGTGGGTCTTGAGGTTTCGCGAATTGAATCATGAAATTGAAGTTTCATTTAAGTTTTAGACCGTTCTTTTCTTCCACTCTTTAAAAATTAAAAAGCAGTGTCACAATAGCTTTGTAGTAGTAGTAGTTTGGCGTTCTTAAGAGACCAAAACTATTATCTCAAACTTCAGCGTTTACTTCGTAATTGTTACTTAAGAAAATCATGTTAATTATTTAGAAATGTTGTAATGTGTTCCGAAAGAAACACGACATAAAGAAATCAATATTTCCATTGTTAGAATGGGCTATTGATCATGGTTTCCTAATATCAGATTTATAAATGTTAAGTTGATCCAATATTAGAGTCTATCTCCAGAACCCTTTGTAAGTGAGATTCAACTATGCGAACGTCACTAGGTGTACGGTCGAGTGTTTGAAATTTTCGGATACACCTGGAGTTTTGACTCGGGTCGGAAAGTGATTAGTCTAGGTCGGTCAGGACCCGAAAGTTTCTTGCAGCACCGGGTTTCCTAAGTACTTGTGATTTTCTGGAGTTGAGTTTCAGATATCCGAGTAATCTTACGTGGCAAGAAACTCTTGTGTTCTAGGTTTAATCTTAATGGAAATACTGGATATTGCTTAGCTCTAAATTTTTGAATATTCGATTTGCCATTTAGAAAAGTCTTAATATTTTGTTTATTAATAAGGGAGTATAATCTAGGTCTTTCTTAGAATATTAACCATAGTTACTTATTAATTAATTATAACTAATTAATTTCGATATAAAAAATATAAGCATTATATATTAAACGTCATTGGATCAACTTGAAAAATAGTAATTCTAATTGCCAATCACGTGACTTGAATCTAAAGTTTGTTAACAAGAAACATCTTTTGTCTCAGAACATTTACAATAATTGACCTCAAATATCTAAAAATTAATTCCAGTAAATAAATTACTTAATGGCGTGTAGAATTGGTCACTGATTCATTAGGTATGTAGGGATAGATTTCTGATAGTAACCACTTACAATAGTGTCAATTCAATGATACCATTCTCTATAAGGATACGGCTTATGCTCTCAAGTTTGTAACGCTTTAATCGCTTCTTTTGTATTCGTTTTTCTCATTAAGAGGTAAATAATTGCGCGTTTACGTGGTTGTTAAAAGCGCAACTGTGTTATTGTGTGTGTCCCGTATCCGCATTCCCTAATTATCGCACACCAGTCTAAATGGCGTGAATTGTCTTACATAGGACGCTGACATGTTCTGGGACTTCATTTCTCTAAGACCGGAGTCGACGCACCAGATCCTGTTTCTGTTTTCGGATCGAGGTATACCCGATGGTCATCGTCATATGAATGGTTATGGTTCCCACACGTTCAAATTGGTGAACGCCAACAATGAGATCGTGTATTGTAAATTCCATTATAAGGTCTGACTTTCAGTATACTTTACTAGGATAAGTATGTCGTTTGGTAAAACTGGAGTATATGACTTGTATGATACTAGAAACGATTGAAGATTATATTTGTAGAAAATGTAAAAGATTAATTATTGATGATACAAAATATTGTGTATGATATTTGGAGGTACTTTTATGTGAATATTGATTTGTGTCAGCCTTTCCTATTTTAGCATTTTTGTTGGAAATGTGAAGTTGAAAGATGTTTGTAAGACAGTTTTGTAAAAATTAGAGTTTAATATTTAGTATTTAGTTGCAAAAATTATTTATGATATTAAAAATTGATGAATGTTAAGAACAAGTAATTCTAGTTTGACTTAATGACAAAAAGAAAAATCATTACTTTAAAATATAAACAAAATTTATATAATTAATTTTTCATTTTTTGTACAGACCGATCAAGGAATTAAGAATTTGTCAGTTGCTAAGGCAGCTGAGTTGAGTTCTAGTGATCCTGACTATTCGATCAGAGATCTTTACAATGCAATTGCTATGCATCAATACCCGACTTGGACGTTCTCCATTCAAGTGATGACTGAAAGTCAAGCCAAGACGTTTAGATGGAATCCTTTCGACGTGACCAAGGTAATGATCGAATCTACAGTTTCTGCTGTGTTATTTTATAAAGTACTCTTAATCAGATCTAGAATAATCAGATTTAGATTTGCTTTAAATTTAGACTTAGATACACTTTAATCGTGAAAACGTTTATAATTCAAGATAGAATTAAAATTAAAAAAGAAAAAAAGATATTTAACATAATCTCATAATGAAATATATATTCGTTTTCAATTATGCAGGTATGGCCGCACTCCGAATTTCCACTTATCCCCGTTGGTAAGCTAGTGTTGGACCGAAATCCTGAAAATTACTTCACTGATGTGGAGCAAATAGCCTTCGATCCGGCTCACTTTGTACCTGGTATTGAACCAAGTCCTGACAAAATGCTGCAGGGTCGATTATTCGCTTATGGTGATACTCACAGGCATCGTCTTGGACCGAATCATCTTCAATTACCTGTGAACTGCCCGTATAAAGTAATTACTCTACAATTACCTTTATATATTTTCTCATATACAAATACTTATTTAATGAAAGAATTGGTATCAAATTGGCGTCAGATATTAACATTTATCTAAAAACAAGATGAGAAGTATATATAATATTTCATTTTTAATTAAAAAAAAAAATTTAGAAGTCTACTATCATTTGTGTAGTTAAAATGAGTGTATTCTTAATTAACATTTCTTTTATATTTTAGGCAATTTCTGCTATCAATTACCAACGTGATGGCCAGATGGCAATTAACAACCAAAATGGTGCTCCAAACTATTTCCCCAATAGTTTTGGTGGGCCTAGAGAATGCCCAGCCGTTCGTGCTCCAAGCTTTTATGTAAGTGGTGATGTAGATCGTTACGAACCTCAAAATGAGGATGACTTTGGGCAAGCAACTTTATTTTGGAGACGAGTATTGAATTCTGAGGAAAAAGCCAGATTGGTGAACAACATAGTGGGAAGTCTTCGCAATGCGTCGACGTTCATCATCGAAAGAGCGGTGAAGAATTTCACAGAAGTAGACACTGAACTTGGCAAGAGGCTTACAGACGGTCTTCGTAACGTTGGTGTGAGAATCAACCTTTGTGGCAAGGCAGCCAGCTTGTAAAAAAATCAACTTTTTTTTTGTATTATAATCACTGTTTTAGATTAGATTATATAATTGTTAATATTTTACACAAATAAAGCACATTATTACTTTGGTTATATTTTTGAAATTTATATCTATATTGTAATTTTTTTTATATAAATTTAACACAAGTAATTTATTTTATATGGGTAGAAAGATTAACTCCATATAAAGAAAAATACTTATTTATTACAAAAAATACAATACTATTTGCATACTTAAACAAAATTTCTACTGAACAATTTCAAAGGTCTGATTCATAAACTCTATCAAAAATGTGTTGAAATTTATAATAAATTAATTGCAATATTTAATAATATACTGAAAAAAATGTTGAAATTGACCTAAACCATTCTTGGGGCTATCAAATTAATATTTTTTTTTTTAATTTGAAAACAAAAAAATTAGTATCTCTTTCAAATATATAATTTACAATTTTAGTATGTTATGATTACAACATATTAATTGCTTTGTATTTAACCACTAATGCACTATTTGTTAAGGACTTGAATGTAATTAATAATAAAAGAATTACATTTTTTCGAAATATATTGAATTAATTATGCGAGAAATCGTTTACAAACACCCCTATCCATGTTACGTTGTTAGTAGCGTAATTAGCGCATAGAACATGTAAGTACAGCCTCGAATATATTTATTCTCGTTAAAAGAGAAGACTTCAAATTATTTCATTTTCGCCCAATTATTAATTTTCCATATTAAGTCGTTTATTGGAGTATTAACTTAAATCTATTTATCTTCTAGCTTTTTAATTTCAATCAAATATTTGTGGAAATTTTACTGTCGTAAATCTTAATTTATAGCAGCATTTTTTTTTTATTTTGAGTTGTTATAAAAGTTATTATGAAATTGTCTAAAAATTTATGTGAATACTTTGATTGCATTATTTTCCAATCATTGCTGTATTTGACTTTGAAACGATTGTTTATTTATTTATAATTGTACATTAGAAGAAAAGAATGGTAAGAATAGATTAATATTTTATTTATAGTTGAATGAAATATACAATAAAAATATAATCATACTATGATATTTTCAATTTTAGTCTAATAATCGCACTAACAAGTATACTGTTGTATCAACAGTGAACGTCAACATAGAAACTGGGGAGATTCTTACATAATAGCCATACACTTGATTACACATTTACGGCGACATTGACATTTTCTGAACAAGCAATATCACTAATAATTACAAACGATTGATTATCATAAAGTAGTTAATATAATTCATAAATGTTTTTAATTACTTGTGTTTTAATTGATAAGAAATTGCGAATAAGTAAAGATTGCAATGACGTTCCAGTAGAAATCCACATTTCATGTGTTCGTAAATATACCTGAGTACATTAGTTTAATCGGTATAATTTTTATTTAAATACTTATAATAATATACACAAATTGCTTGAATAGTAATTTATGTAATTTTTATTATACAGATACCATATTTTTTAATTATATTATTATGAAGCAATTTGCAAAATGGTATACTTGCATTGTTCGACAAATGATCTGAAATTACCTAGTTCACGTATCCCTTCTCAAACAACATATAGTTGCGATTATCGATGTCGAAAATTCTTTCGTACTTCTGTTACCGATGACATAATTGTTATGATGATATGATTGCTCTTGAATTTAAATAAATGAATAAATAAAATGTTATAAGATATAGTTTAATTAATTATGTGTTTTTTATTTAGTTAGTGCTTTTTTATACGTAGACAAGTAAAGTAATATATTATAAAATAAATCGTAGATTCTGAGTTTATTAAAAAAGGAATTTCCTTGACGTCAACAGAAATATTGGTAATCTGGGAAATACAGGTTATGATCGATGATAAATCTACATGTGTAGAAATACGTTTTTTGTTATCTTTGAGGAAAGACATCTATTTTGTGTATACGGTGAATCCCACTGATATCTATACTATGTTTAAAGAAAAATACTGAAACATGAGATGTATAATATGTATAGATATATATATGTATGTATAATACATTCTAATGAAAACGCGAGAAACAAGGATACATGCCTCTAGGTTTAAAATATTTCCCTTGTTACTAAAATACATCTTTTAACACTGTAGAATTGCGTATAAAATAATAGATGCGCAAATGTATTATATCACTAAAAAAATGGAGTGCAATTAGTTATTACGTTATAATGCAACTAAATAATTGAAATTTTTTACTATATATTTTGTATTCGAAATATATCAACAATAAATATTTTTTATTAATTTTAATGTGTAAAATAATGTGTAAATATTTATTAATTTTAATGTGTTAAACACTTCAAATTTTTATTGATAAAAAATAGAGTAGTAATACAAAAATATATTTTTTTATTAGAAGCCACTATTTTTGTGTAAAGTTAGTATTTATGTAAAAAGTATGACTTAAAGAAGACGAAGTATTAAAAGCTTTTAACCTTATATAGAAGAAAAATGTAGTACAATATTAAATTTTTATTCGTATTACGAAAATATATAAATTTATGTATAGATTTATGTATAATCTCCACCATCTCAAAATGTAACAATATATATATATTTTCTTTTTTAACATTATATATATATATTAAAAATATCCAGAAATACGATAAAAAATTTTGAAATCTTAAAAACCAAAACCAAGTTTCATTATATAAATGTACTTATGTACCATGAGAAATCGATACAAAAGATGGTGATTTCAAAATCTGTTATAAAGATAACACTGACTGAAAGACAGTACGCGTCCGGGAAAATCCAAAGTCAAAGATGGCGGGGAAATACATGGCCTTTGTTTGAGTAACTGTGTGTTACATTCTATATATAATTTATAGTAATCGTATTATACTTATAGTACTAATTGTACTATGTTTATAGTAATAATACTATAATTTATAGTAATCGAAGTAGATTAATTGAGAATTAATTTACCATTTATAGAACATTGTTTATAAAATAGATAACCTTTTCTCCTGATATAATTACAGAACAAGAGTTCATTTTCAGCAGTGGGGTTTTATCAAAGCGCTAAAGACTGGATACTTCTATATCATTCAATTGAGTGAACAAACACTTGTACCTACATATATAGTTCATTTCAATGAACAGGGAGTAGTATATAAACCGCACGAGCTATCGTTCAGTCATCAGACACTTCACAGTCTACTCTTCAGTTTGGACGTAGTCTATTGTCGAAGTTCAATACAAATTTTAACCAACATGAAGATTTACTTCATCCTCGCTCTTCTCTTGGTCGCCGTAGCCGCCATCATGGCAGTGCCTGTTGGTGAGTAAACTCTTGTTTTCATTAAATGGTATTTAAATTATATATTAAGCAATATTAAACATTTAGATTTAGAAACATTTGAATATAGAAATAATAATGATAATATATTATATTGGTTTCGTTAGACGCTTAATTATTCTGTTTTTAAGTGAAATAAATCATGTATGATGGTCACATTTATATAAGTAATGGGGAAACTTTATCATTAACAATTATTGGTAATTATCATAAATGTTATAAATTATTGAAACCCTTTTCTGTATCTTGTAATATTATATTTCACAAAGTACAAGATTTATGTACATTAATTGTGGAATATTATATAATTTAGTTATGAAAGATATTGTAATAAATTTATTACACAAGGTCACAAATTATACAAGCACATATTACAAATTTTATGCTATGAATTATTTGACACTTACAAAATAAAAATAACTGTCATATAAGTTAGAAAAATAAACTCAGCTTTGAGTCATTTTTTCTATTGAAAATTTCCCATATATAATTAACAAAACTTAGTTTATATGAAAAAGGGAGCGCATCTTTCTTATATAATATTGCTATTATTTACTATACAAACTAGAATGTTTTGACATAAATGTTTAAATTTCAGAGGAGGAGTATGAGCCTCTTGAACTGGAGCACGAGTTTGGTATTGAAGAACGTGCGAACAGACAAAGAAGAGTGACCTGCGACCTTCTATCCATCAAAGGAGTCGCTGAGCATAGTGCTTGTGCTGCCAACTGCCTCAGCATGGGTAAAGCTGGAGGTCGCTGCGAGAACGGAGTCTGCCTTTGTCGCAAGTATGTATTTCTTTAAATTTGAGTTCCTTGAATTCTTTTGTATTTTAAGCTTTGACCAAATCTTGAACACTTTGACAAATCCTGTTAATTGAAAATTCTCATATATGAATCGTAATCTTTTAGTATAATAGTATCATAAGTATTATACAGGTTTAACCCAATTCGAGCTTAGAGTTGATGAATTTTGAATAGTAAATTTGAAGGGTTTCTAATTATTTACTTATTTATTTGATATTTATTTTCAATATTGCCTGTGCCACATGAGACCTCGATAATTCACTCTTTCTGCTATGATAGCTAAAGTTTTCATAAGACGATAGTTTATAAGACTTACCACTGAAACGAGGTAGATATAAATATTTAGAATATTCAATACATACGTTAACGTTATGTAGTAAAAATATTTTAAAGTAACCTTGACTTTATCTTGAAATTCTGTGGCTGTGCTATAGTTGTTTCGAATAGTTTATAAACACGATTTAAATGAATTTAAATAATATTATACAATTATAGCATAGCATAGAACTTATAAAATTAGTATAAAAATATTTATGAGTGCATACCGTTATTCTCATTTCAGAACTACCTTCAAGGAACTCTGGGACAAACGTTTCAATTAAGCTGAACTTTTCACTCCAAGATTCAATCGTGGTATTTTCTACAAATCAAAAATCAGACAGAGAGGATGTGACTATTGTTAAAGAATGATAAAATACTTAACTTATAAGTTTATAATAATATATATATTTCATTCTTCATCACTGAAAATTCGGTAGATCTTGGTTTACTAAAATTTACCTTATTTAATATAAAATTGGACTATTGATTATAATATAGTTCAGAATAAACAAAATTTTTAATTGAGGAGCGCTATAAGTTTTCAAATAATTTTCTTTTCGTTCATATCACTACCATATTTTACCTAAAATTAATAATTCACATTTGTTAAACAAATCATTCTGAATTAAATTCCGAATTAAAAACATTATTTTTATTTATTCTGTCATATTATAAATTGGGAACACTATTCTTATGACGATAATGCAAGTTATTCAGCAAAATTTATACAGAAAAAATTTGCTATTTTCTTTCTCAGGGAAGAGATTAATATTAATAAAGTGAAAGATTACAATTTATTGATAAATTCAATGTCAATCTTTTTAGTCGTGATTTCAATTCCTACCTGCATTTCAGTGTCTTGGCACACAATGTAGTCCTCGATTTAATAAGAAACGCGATGCAAAGGAAAATCGATGTTTGTAGTGCTTCATAACGAAGGCATTATTTCATTTCAATTCTCGTGAATTTTCTGTTTGTTTTGTCTGATAAGCTGCATTGCACGATGTCCGTTTCTTTCTTAATATCGTTTCAGGTTTAACTTAATTATTAGCTCTCCGTTGTATCATTTCCTTGTATTTTATCTTTTCCACTCGTTTCCAACGTACGAGTAAATGAATGTTTTCCGTAGTACCGTGGTTTATGATTTACGACCGTGTTGATGCTAAATAAGAAGAATGAACAAAAGATCAAATGCCATTATTTATTTTAAGTTACCTGACGGACATTGAGATATCTTCAAAGATTGAAGAGCTTCCATATAATATTATATAGTACCTTCCACTGGAAATCATTAATGCATCATTATATTTTTGTACAATATTCTTCACCGGAATTATAAACGCATCCTTATAGATTTTAATATTTTTCTTGGCAGACTATGCATAACTGGTGCAACCAAAACAATTATTAGTCTTGTCAACAATTTAAAAAATATTTGCAGATGTACAATTGTTTCATATTTTCTAGAAGCATTTAAATAAAATCTTGATAATGATATTTTTATTACACAATGAAAATTATGATCCAGTATCCATAAAATAACTATTTTCTCAAGTTAATAAATGTTGTTAATGTTATTCCATAGTAATATTTGCTTATTTGATATATAATAAAAATGCAATATTTTAAAATTCTTTTATTTTTACTGCGAATCTTCTGTGATATTTCCCATTTAAAAATACATGCATCAACTTCATTGACAGTTTTAACAGTCATAGATTGTCTGGTGATGATAATCGGTGTCCATGGCAATTATTTTGAGTTTCATAAAACAATCGTACACAGATTAATCAGTCATCCTGTTCTTAATCGCTTCGAAATAAAGCATACGTGCTCGTTGGGCCAACAATCACGGAACAAATTGCCATGCAAAATACCTATGCATTAAATACCCATAATGAATGACCGTTTATGTTGTTACTGGAAAATATTGCCTTCCGATATATACGAGGTGCAAGCGTGAATTGCTTGTGCGATTATGCATAAAGTCTATAGATTTATCGGTCGCTGTATTTATCGATCCAGCGATTCGATTCAAAGAAGATTTTTATTTTATCGAAATCGCGTTAAATTCGATCTGTATTGTAAATTGGAAGACAGGTTTCATCTCTTATGCATCGAATCGATGAAAAAGTGATATCCCTTAAATCTTCATAAATTAAAATTATAAGTAAAATATTCATTTTTGGAATAAATATCTAGAAACCATCGCTTCAATTTAAATATTGAAGCCAATTATCTCCATACTCGATGACAATATGGAAGGTTCGAGAGATCTAAAAAAAGAAAGTAACTATGTAAAATTTCACTAGTGACAAATTTAGAGAGAAGAATTTCAGTTAATCTTATATTTTTACTCACTCGAATCTTCGAATATACTGACTCATTTTAACTATTGATAAATTCTCTTTGTTTCAGACTAATATTTGGAAACGGTCCTCTTTTCAATTTTTCTCAAACACGTCGTCGTCACTGATGAGAGTTCACCTGATCGATGGAAATACCATTGGGAATATCACGTTTCACCTGCGCAGAGATAAGTAGCGTTAGCAAAATTTTAATTCATTAAGCGATTATTTAATTTAATTCGCATAAAAACGAAATTCTAATTAAATTATCCCCTTTTAACATCGTTATCAAAATATATTTACTCAACGCAGGGTAAAAAGAGAAAGTAAATTTTTACCTGGGCAGATGGAGCATCGTAAGCACGAATGATTCACGGAGAAAACTCGCGGTGATACTACCTTTTCCGTAGAAAAGGATTAGTCGAGAAAAAAAGGTGAAAGGCCTTGAACGAACGAAAGAGACACAAATACAGTGAACGGGGATGAGCGAGAGAGGCAGAGAAAGAGATAGAGTAAGCGATGGGTGAAAGAGTACGAAGAAGAGAACACGACTGAAAAACCAATATGCCTTGTGCTTCGGTGTGCAATTAAAGGGTCGAGAGAGTTTACTGTCGATATTTTTCGACCAGCAATTATTGGAATCTTTTTTCCCCCCTTTCTGTGATATATAGCCAGGGAATAACCGGATCGAGCTCACCGACCATGATAGTCCTGCAGGACTCTTCTGCATGAAGAGCCCTTCAGGAGCGGACAAATGCGGCCACTATATGCACTTATGGTTCTTTCCACGCTTTCATTAAAAATTGGACTCGGCTCTCCAAAGCACCTTCTCCTCTCTTCTGTCCTTTTCTATCCATCCGTTCATCTATTTCTTTCCAATGGCCGATACGCTATCTTCGTCGCACGTTCGTCTCTATTCTTTCATCGGTCAGGCCGGCTCGACTCTCTTTTTCCTCTCTATCCTTTTTTTGCCACTTCTCGTGCTCATGTAGATCGCCAGGATATAGCTAGATGTCAGTCATATTCGTGGCTGGCTTTTCATCTTTGTTCGTTCGTCGGGGCCCGTCTCGTGTTCGTTGAAAATTATTTCCTCCGGTATTCCGCGCGGGCATTTCGGCCTCTTCAGCTGGAATTCGGATAGCCGGATAGCCGCGATGAATCGCGAATAACAGCGTAGACCGGACCGAACTTTCCTCTCCCGTGGAAACCGTTCGTTTTACGCGTTAAATCGTCCACGGTCGATCGTGCTTCCCTCTGATGTGCCCTTTTGTGTGGTTTAAGAACGTTTCATATGTTACCGTCCGAGTGATCGTCTGCTTCTAGTTGCGTACATTAACCTATGATAAAATTGTAAATTGATAATTGGATTAGTTATTTTCAATATTCATAACGAATGTGAGTGTGAAGTTAATTCGAAACTTGTCAGTGCTGGATTTAGTATATTCACTGTAAGTAACTTGGTTATTTATTGTTACTTCTATACATGTATTTATGTGCGTTCGTAATACATAGTGTAATATGGGATTCTAATTAAACGCTAAATTGTCAGAAAATTATTTTGTAATAGTTTATACAAAACATAGTTACAAAGTTCTATAATATTGAAATACATTTTTTAAGAAAATTATTTAGTTTTATATAATATAGGTTATAAATATAGGATTGGCAGTATTAATTAACTGGAATTTGGTTTATGAATGATATGATTTATTGATTTATCTTTATCGTCGTTTCGTGAATAACTGTTTACGATATTTATTAATTGTATTACGTAATATTTATAAATTTTTGAATTAATAGTTTTCATGACTACATTAATTTAGTATTAACGAAAATCGATTCACTCTTCAAATTCATTTTCAATACTAGCTTTGACTATTTTCAAGATAACTTTGTAATTTCGTAATTTACTTTCAACATTTCACTTAAGTCGTAATTTGTATCAGAACGCAAGTACCTTTCGGGTTTTCAATTGTTTCTCATTATTGTTCGGGAATTAAATTGTCAAAGTAATTTTCCGCGAAAAGTAATTATTATAATTGCTCTGAAAGAAGAACAAAGGATATGCGTATTAAGCGTTTTGGTGTCGGAAAAAATCCATTGCATTTACGTTTATTACTAACGAGATACGTTCGAATAGAAATTTTTTCTATGATTTTCTTCTTTTTCCTGTGCTCATGCCTTGCAAATGTATAGTATTACAGATTACAGCATTATTTTCAACCGCCACGATTTAATCATTAAACGCAATTACATTAATTTGTATTGTTTCTTATATATTGTATATTTCTTTTCACGTACTAAATCAAATTTTATAACAAACGAATATAATACTGTTCTTTTTTTAATAAAGGAAAAGTAAATAAATTCTTTTTCATATTTCCTAACAAATAAGGTTATGTTACGTAATCCCATGTGTATATGCGTATACGTAGAATTCTATAGGGGGGAAAACGTTTATTTTTAATAATACCGTACCTGGATTTAAAAAGTGGGATTGTGCAACGAATGCGAAAACGTTTCATATTATCAAAGAGTGATTGAAATAATACGAAGCATTTCATGCGATTCGCAAACTCTAGTTTGCGTTGCTAAACAAGTTATGAAACTTTTAACGGTAAAAATTAGAAAATAAATGCGAACTTTAAACCTGAATGTTTTCTTAAATTGTCGAAATAATAAACGCAAATTGCCATTATAAAGTACTCTATGATTTTTCATTGCAAATTCTTTATTTCGATTTAAATGTGAATAGGAAAATATCCTGGGGTGCATTTATTCAAATTTTCCGTTACATGAATATTAATTCATGTTAACGAATCAGGAGAAGAGATGTTATCGATTTATCGAACCAAACAGTTTCTCGTTATATACAAATATATAATAAATTTACGTTATCACATTGAAAGCAAATAAAAGCAATCGCATTGTTCAAATTTTCCCTGAACATCAAGATTTTAACCTAAAAATTTTATAGATATTTCAATTAATTTTTATTATTAGTCGAATCGAAAACAGTAATTCGTCGCAAAACCGTTTATTCTCTCAATTTTCAAAAAACGCTTCAAACGAGTAGGAATGTCTAACAGGACACGTTCATTTCGTAAATTCGTTCGATGAACTGTACAATTAAGTTCGAGCTAGCAATTTTTCTTCCTTTTTTCGGTGTACACACGT